AGATGCATGTAGTGGGAAAACAGCATTTTATAGAGGCCTTTGCTTTCTTTGCATTTGCTTAAAGGAAACCTCCTAATTTAACAAGCCACCTCCAAGGCAACATGAAGATGTCGGGGCATCAGTTCAAGACGGGGATGACCCCGACCCCATTGAATGTGATAATCGCCGGATACTCTTGTATCTAATGGGCGTGTCATGTACTGTTTTATTACAGCTTCTTTTCTCCTTTGTAATATCTTACTGTACTTGTCTATTCATATTTCTTCAATATTCAATTCTGGTTTATATGTAAATTTAAACATGCTTATGTATGTAAGCAACGTCTAGTCACAGTGCATAATTCATGTGTGTTGTGCTTTGTTTTTAAATAAAAATGTGTATGCAATACACTTGGCTCAGTGTTTCTCTAGCGCAAGCGGATATTTAGCCTTATATGTTGCCATCTGTGAAATTTCATTTATAAAAGTTTTGCAATTTCAGAAGTTCAAATCACCCATAGGTTTTATTATGCTTACAGATGCTAATATGATTAGTTTTTTTTCCAAAAATGCGCTTTAGTAAAAAAATGTGTGTTTTAGTCTAATTCTAGTAATTTTAGTGCATGTCTAGAAAAACTAAATTAGCATCTGAAAGCAGAGGAAAACTTATTCAAGATTTGAGCTTCCGAAATTTCAATTACAGAGAGTAAAAAAAAAGACTATAAGAGGCTGCTTTTAAAAAATACCCTGAATAAAATACATCCCTTAATCTCCCTGTCATGTACACTGTGTGTCCTTCCGGACTTGATTGGGACTCGCAAGGGATAACTTTGGGTTACAAAAAGTGCGGCCCAATCGACCTGCAAGGGATGTCTGCCGCTGTGGTTTCGGATATGCAGTGGATATCGATATCCAGTCAGGGTTGTTCCTGTGGATGTCCTGCGGAGGTCACTTTTGTCACTGGGTAGCGAAAACTGACAGTGTGTGTGTGTGTGGTACGGTCGCAAGGAGCTGATCGTATACTGGCTAGCTGTGCACAGCGCTTCGCCTGCTTCACATACTTACCATACCGAGCCGCTTGCGGCCACTGCGCTTGAGACCGTGCACAGATGCGGCGAAAAACCTGTTGACGCGACGATGCACGCCTCCTGCAAGCGATGCTCTAGCGGTCTGGGCAGCAGTACGGGGGCGCGTTTGGGCTGTGGCATCATGAAAACAAGTGCAGCGCTTGCCGTATCGGTGCCCGTGATTCACAACGCTCAACATGGCGACAGCGAGCTGCTTTCATTCCTGCAAAACGGTGCACGCTGAATACGGTCCTGCACAACGGTTGAGGCGCCAGCTGTCGGCGCCTCAGCGCTCTCACGTAGTTGCCAATTGGCCGCGAGATCGAGCAGAATTGCCGCCTGGAGGCAACTGGCCGAAGTGGCGAAGTGTGGATTGCTTCGTGCGTCGTATGCTAGCCACGTCGTGTTTCTGTTTGCGTACGTCACACACGCTCTGATAGTGTGGTTTATCCGGTAATGTCAGAGCGAGTGTAACTGTTTCTACGTATGCCTGAAACGACACACGAAAGCATTAGGTCTTGCTCAGCTGCTAATGCATTTTAATAAGATCGGGGAGTGCAGCTTTCCAGAGTGCTGTTTATTGTCATCGTACCCCATATTTACCAGAGTATTATCAGGGTGGGTTCCGCTTTCTGTTTCAAGCACATTGCAAGATGCTCTTTGCATCCTCCCAAACATGAGGATTAATGGTGTGAGAAAGCAGCATTTTATAGCAACCAGGTGTAAAAAAAAACAGGCTCTAGGCCATGTACTTGCGCGTTGTTGATAGGTCTACAACTACGACATTGTAGTAGTTGCGAGAAGCCTTAGTTCTGTTTATCTGACCATGGTACCACAACATAGATATATTACTATCACATAAACTATGACACATTGGTACTTAAAGTGTACCTGAAACCGAGTTACCGTGCACATCCGTGTACTTAGATTTAAGAACGTTTTGAAGAGCCCAGAAGTTAAAAATTAATTCAGATGGCATGCTTTATATACAATGTGTAATTTCACTGAAAATTTCGTATTTTTACATTATCTCGGCATTTGTGTGACATTGTTAATGACAGACAGAAGGCAGTGGTCATTTTATATCTAAAAAAAAATTGTCCCATTAACCATACCTTTGTTGTTGCACTGTCATGCACATAATCCATCAAGGAAAACTTTCTGCTGAACTCTTATATATATATATATATATATATATATATTAGATTTTTACTTGTGTAAGAACATGTGCCTACACATGGTAAACGCAGTGTAGCGCAAAGCGCCGTCAACCACCAAGCTTCCCGACTAGAGTTAACGACTGTCCCACATTTTATGGTGAACAGGAAGAGAGAAAACAAATTTATGCGTATAAGGTGCGAACGGTGGTACTGAACTAATCGCACATATATGCGGACTTTCCACGCTCTTTCTTTCTCTCTTCTTTTGTAATGTGCAGATGACAGAGATGTAAATAAGTAGTTCAGTCACGCTACAGCAAGCATAGTGGGCGGAACACAAACTAACCACGTACAAACAACACAGCAAGGATGTTACTTAGTGCAAAAGTGTGAAAGTCACCCAAGGCGAGCCTCCCTATGAAAAGCAGAATGCACTTTACTCACGGGTAATGTTAACGTTGCATAGGCATCGCGTACCGTTTCAGTAAAAAAAAAGCGTAGATACTAACAGTAAACCGTACTCAACGCATTTTATCCCCCGACAATCCGTTCAGACCGCACACAATGAAGCGCCGCTGCGTGTATTTGTATACGCGGCACCGACCGCCCATCCACACTTGCGCGCAGACGGTGCTGCCTTTTATAGCCCAATTTCGCCGCGAATAACCCTGAAGCGGCACAGCGCTACACATTGCTTTTATTGGCTCAGGGTGTCTACCACTTTGATATTCTAAATTCCCTGACTTTTCCAGGTTTTCCATGTCGATTAAAACCAAATTTCATAACTGCCACGTCTGCTTGGAAAACTGTGCACTGGAAACAAACTCTCGAGTGCTAAAAAATCAGGGCTCCATATAAAACAAGTAAACATATTTACTAGAAGCACTCGGAATGTTCTGAGTGCGTGCGGTAAATGTGAAAAAATATGTATATCTGGCTAAAATAAAACCCCTGAGCCAGGCAGTGAACAAGTCCATTGTCTGATGTGCGGAAGAATCACAAAGCAAACACAACCACAGATGAAAGCTTGAAGGAGCCTGCGATAGTCCGACATTGCAGTCAAAGCTGCTTGGAAATGTAGAAGTGGTGCCATTTCGCGGCATCCACGCATTATGAGGACATGGGAGCCTGGCTGGTTCTGCCACTATAATTTTACTATAATGTCTGTGGCCCACGCCATTAAGGATGTGGATTCGATTCAATTAAATTAGATCGGCCTGAACTGCTGTGTTTACTAACTCCACTATTGACTTGCATCCTCGCCTAATTTGCAGACCTCTAAAATATACTTTCCTGCAAAAAAAAAAAATGAATTGCTACTACTTGCGTATTCTGTGTACCTTGCCTTGACAACGAGTAACGACAACGTTGCAAGAACAGAGTCATACAGCAAAGTTTTCTTTCTTTCTTTCTCCGATAAGCACATACATATTTGTATTTTGTGCCGCTAAGCTCTGACGCTTGAAGTGTCACGGATGTCTTCAAACGGCTGCAATCAAAGCTGGGGACGGCATCTAAAGTGCCGACGTTTAAATATGTGGTGGCAAGAAAAAATCTGTCAAGGTGCAACAGCTACCTTGATTCCACAGATCAATCATGGATGTCAACACGTTACCTTGATTTACATGCTCTTCTGTGAACGTCACGCTAAAAAATAATTACAAATTCATTTACACAGTGTCAGGAAACAGAAATGAGAAATTTAGCTGAAGTTACACAAGTGCTACCTTTGAACCACGAGCCACCAGCAATAAGTGCATAGCCGAGGATGGTTGCTGTTGCATCACCAATAACAATAACAATAATCATAATAATAATTAAAGGCATCAGTAGCCTGGAAAGCTTCTGTTGGCATGAGGCGCGAGCATGCGGTAGAGACGCGAGATGCAAGCATGCGCACTAGGGGTGTAGACACCATCGCCAACGCCAGATTTGCGAGTATGTGCGACTATAAAATGCTCCGCATTTAAAAGAAGCTTGCATCTAGCCCCACATCTGGAATCCAGATACAGACGACTGTACATACGCTGACCAGGAATAATTGGACGTTTCCAACAATGTACTCTCGCTACTTACGGCAAATATTTAGGCATACTTAAGTACGCTGTACATTTCTTATGGCTTTTATTGTGAACAAGACTCTCTCCATATTGGGTGCTGAAACGCCAGTAAACTTTGCGTTCCATGAGTCGGTGCATCTTTTTGCGTTTAACTAAGAAGCAACAGCTATGCACCGTTTTTTTTTTTTTTTTTCATACCTCTTCTAGCAGCTCATTGTATTTGCAGTAGTAAGAGCGACTTTTTAAGCTTTGATCAATGGTAATGCTTATTTTTTAATGGCTGCACAGAACTGCTGTCGGTTTCCATGACCTGGCCTGGTTTTTCAAAAATTCCCCGACTTTTCCATGACTTTACCAGAAGGGTCCTAATTCCCTGACTTGGCAGGGTGTCTACCAACCTGTCAGGGCAGGTTGGTAGACTCTGCCCAGGCTATAAGCTTCCTCCTTGACTATAAGTCATACTGGGGCGCTTTTCAATAGTTGCCCCATTGCCTTCGTTACCAGAAAACACACTGCCGCAGTCGCGCACAAGTCTAAATAATTTGATTGGCTGATTACGTGCTTTGGCAGCAGTCCAAGTGTAAAAAATGGCTAGCATCACGTAATATCTTCTCACAAAGTACGGAGTCAACATTAGTTTTGGTTCCAAAATCACCTTGTGGCACAGATATGGCACAAATTAGACACCAAAGACCCTTTTGAAGCAGTGTATGATGCAGTGAATTCCAGTACTGGTGCAGGCTTTGTGCCGCTGTACTCTTTATTGGTCAAATTACAAAGAATGTGATAGGATCAGTGGTCTTGTCTGTGCCGTTTCCAAAACTTTTTTACTTCATCGTGGCCATTGCGGTTCACAACCATGACCCGCTTACTAGGATTATCCCATATAAGCACACCCAGCTCCTGAAAGATAAGAAAACATAACTCATTCAGCAAATTTTGAAGTTGTTCACTACGCTAAAAATGGAACATCATGATAAACTTGAGTCATTTTGGAGACATGCACTTCCACATAAGAAACAATAATTTTAATATATAAACTGGCCCATATAGTTGCATTTTTGTACTGCATAATTAAATCTTGCAGGAATTTTCTACAACATTTTATGGAGTATGTTTAGATTCTAGGTTACAAAAAGAAAAGGCTGTCATACAAGCCACAGCCACAAGTGAAATATAAGAAGTTCATTCACATCCATGTACTAAAAACATGTAACACATGAAAAAACAAAACAGACTAGGTACTGAAGTACAGTGAACTCCACATGAATGAATGAAACTAAAACATAAACAATGTGTACATACAAATTTTCGTAGACAGCCCCACAGGCACACATCTGATTACCTGGCAAACGGAAAGTGGTTCTGGAACCATAACAAATTTTAGTGACCCTTATACTACCTTGAAACAGCCACAGTTAAAAAAAAATGTACTGTAGCAGCTCGTATGGACAAGATAATGATGCAAAATAGTTAATGATGCAAATAGATAATGATGCAAAAATGATGCAAATAGACAAGATAATGATGCAAAAAAGGAAAAAGTATATACACACTTCATATGTGCATAAAGTCACCGTTTATTTGCTTTAATCTTAGCAAGAGAGAGACAATTCCTGTACTCTTTCCTTGTGTGTTTACCAGCCCCATGCCAGCCAGTGGCTCCATGATCTGGCATTCTCCTGAAAAAATGTCGAGTGTAACCATACCTAGGAAGAGCCAAACATTAACTTTAGTGTTTCAGCTATAAAAGAATTTGTGTTGGCCAATCTGCGGACTTGTGTGCTTCGCTACGTTTCAGGTGGAACTTGACAACAGATATGCTTTATTCTAGGTGCGTTGCTAACAGCACTAATACACTAACACAGCACTAACAGCAGTCCTTCTTACTGCACATAATCTTTCAGCAAACCATTAAAGGGCCAGTAAACAACCCTAAGGCCCAAAAATCGTTACAAAAAGAAATATGTATGTGCGCTTTTACTTCGTGAACATGCTGACGTAAGAATTTTGCGAGTACGTGCTATATTAAGAAGTTACAGCGGTTAAAACATTGGTTTCAGCTGGTTTCAAATTTTCGCACGGCCTCGCTTGCCACCCTTCTCCCTCTCATGAAGGGGAAGGCATAGCCTGTTGTCATGGCTACGCCCACTTTGGCAACGTGACACGACATCAGCAATCGAAGCCATCGGTGAACTCGCTCAGTCGCAACGCACTTCCGCTTGCTGCGACGCCTGGTTGTTTACTGCTTGCCCTAGTGCCGATGCTTCTCCGCTGCCCAATCGCTTGATTTGCAGCCAACAACGGAGCAACGCTTTTTTCCTGTGTTGCTCACGTCGAGGGCGAACCACGCTGAAGGAAGAATGTACGCGCGACAACTGCTAGGCCACAACTGTATCACCGCAGTGCCAAAAAACAAGGGGAAGTTTCGTAGTTGTGGGTGGGAACTGGAACTAACGTTGACTTCACTACTGTTTGTTGAGACCTGGTTTAGACCAATCAATGTGCTGCGTCAAGTCGCTGATCGTAGCCTTTGCGTCACTGCACGTGGAAGAAGGATTGGTGAGGCGTAGGAAAAGGGTGCGGGAATTGTTTTTCAAAATAGAGGTAGGCTCTGCGCAGCGATGTAATATTAAGAAAACAGGATCGCTGCGGTCTACTTTACAAATCGCCGAGCTTGTTTGGGTGGTGTAAAGAAAAAAAAAAAAACAACCTTTTCTGTTGCTCAATCCTTGTGCTACTACAGCCCAAAAACATAGTATATTACCAATAAGCTCAAAACGCTTCCTGTCTAAGGGATCCTTCCATCAGAGGGGTTATGTCTACATGTGTTCTGAATGATTGTGTCTCCTAACTATTCTGCTAGTACTGTGATTTCTGTCCACGACACTTAGCTACAGCTTAACTTTATATATGGCTTTCCAGCCTCTTACTGTCTCTTTCAAGCGCCCAATGTCTCAGTAATGTGGGAAACAAGGGACTTGCCGAGGCATAGTTCCTGAGGAGTTGAAAGTCGGTTTGTGAGATGAACTGACTGTACAGAACTCCCTCACGAAACACAAATCGATCTCTCTCCATTTCCCAGAGCCGAAGCTGATCCATGATTGTTGCAGGGGATGACAGGTGTCTGCAATGACAAAGACGTAATTGAATAGGACGTTCTGCAAATCTGCCCACAAAGAAAACTTGGTGCAGCTATAAACAGTGAAGCTAGCTGAGAAACACTTGCCTGTTTCAGGGCCTCAGGGTGTGCATACATTCGAAGAAACTTGATGATCTAGAAAAGTAAATGGTACCTTTTTATGACAGACGAGTCTTGGTGACAAAAAAAAAAAAATCATAAATTAGATTTTTCAATTTTGTGATTTTCGTTCTCTTCATATCATCATGTGTCAGGCAGCGAAAAATCAGCTCATAATGACGCGTCCTTTAGCCCAAATAAATTGTATTTATGCACCCCAGCACTTGGTTGCACTAATGAAAACGCCAAAAACGGCCCTGCTTTGCTTTGCTCGTCTCACACTCACCACTCATAGGAACTTGGCCATATTAGCCAGTTCGGAATCAATATACCAAACCATTCTCGCAAGTTCTGCACGCTCCATAAACTCAGCAAGTGATGCAAAAAATGTGCCACGCAGTCCGAGGAGTCATCACAGTCAGCAGCGACTACATCAGCACAGCTGAGCGGGACAGTTGATGGGCAGACGCCATGATATAGCAGCCGGACTAAAGGCAGCCACTGATCGCTACAGCTTGTAGCGGTGGCAACACGTGCCCAGAGTGCCATCAATCACCGCAGTTGTCCACGCATATCTCTGATCACCTCGGCGGAGGAGCACAAAGAATGCTGCAACGAAGCAGCAATCGCGATGGCGCCCACAGTGGTGTCAAAATCGGCTGATCACGTTGATACTCCAACGAGCATCCAGCAAACAAGGTCACCGCTTCTGATTACGATGGCGGACAACGCTTTTGCTACAGAAGACCCTGCAGCGGCAGAAAGCACGGCGGCGATTGCGACCGCAGCCTTTCCGACTGCAGGTATTGTGATCGAGCAAACCGCGTGAAGATAGATGCCACAATTTTTTACCACGGCTGACCAGGATATGATCGAACGTCGTGCACAACAGAAAGCAGCGAACCTTTCCTCAATCTTGGCAACGAATCGCCAATGAGTGTTCTCACGAGCGAGTGCGGCATCGAAAGTTTGTCGGCCACGACTTATATGATTGTTGACCTTGACCTAGTAAACAGCTTATTTCACGAACGTTCTTCTTGCCGAGTGTGCCGGAGTGGCCGGGGACAGCTGACTATGGAACGCAACGCACGTGAGTACGACGTCGCCGTGAAGCTAACGCTTCAATGCAGAAACTGCAGGAAAGTTAGCTCAAAATGAAGTTTGCGACGAGTTGGTGGTAATAATAACTGCAACCTGTTCGAGATCAATGTTCACATGGCGCATCCTGGGCAGAGCACAGGAAACGAGCAGACGGCACTGACCGACATGTTTGTCACTACGGGCGTTTCACACTGAGGTCTTCATACGAAGACTTACCAGCAGTACCTAAAAACAAAGCTCCAGCCAGCAGCAACGAGAGCTTGTGTCGATCATATGGCTAAATGTGCCGCAACAGCTGACAGCCTCTACAAGGACCTTAAATTCGGCAACCCTGGAGATATTGCAGTCTCTTTTGATGAAAGCTGGCTCACAAGAGGACACACCTCTCACATCAGAATGGCCTCCGTAGACGTTTTTTCAGGATATGCGCTTGACTATGTTTGCTGTCTAAATTTTGCCTTGGCTGCGAACGTGGCCTGACAACGAACGAACCTGACAGCCCAGAATATGCCGAGTGGAAATCTAGGCATTCATCCCGGAAAAAATACCTCATGCAAGCCTGACCAGATGGAAGTAGAAGCAGCAATGATTTTATTAAGTGCTCACTTTCGCGTCATGGCTTCAGATATATCTCCATGTTTTGTGATGGTGACAGCTGGTTGGACAGAGCTGTCAACGCAGCCGAAATGTATGGCTTCATCAATGTCGAGAAAGAAGACTGTGCGAACCATATACAGTAGCGCATGGTGACTGCACTTCGGAACCTTGTGCAGAAGCACTCAGGGTGTCTACCAAATTTATATCTGTAAATTCCCTGACTTTTCCAGGCTTTCCATGATAATTAAAAGCAAATTCCATGACCGCCACCTCTGCTTAGAATCTCTGTGCACTGCAAACAAACCTTCAAGTGGTAAAAAAAAAATCAGGCGCTCCAATGAAATAAGTAGACATACTTACCAGACACACTTGGAATGTTCCTGAGTGCAAGTGGTAAATGTGAAAAAATATGTACTCTGGCCAAAATAAAACCCCTGAGCCAGGCAGTGAGCAAGTCAGCTGTTTGATGTTCAGAAGAACCAGGAAGCAAACACACAAGTTAAAGATAACATCAGATGAAAGTTTGAAGCAGCCTGCGGCAGTCCGTAATTGCAGTCAAAGCTACTAGGAAACGTAGAAGTGGTGCCATCTCACGGCATCTGTGTGAAATCGGAACGCTGAGAGCCTGGCTGGTTATACCACTGGAGTATAATCTAGTTTACTATATAATGGCTGTAGCCCACGCCACTTAGGATGTGGATTGGATTAGATCTGATTCGACCTGGATTGCTGCATTTACTACAGATTTGGGTCCCCGCCTAATTTACGCACCTTTAAAATATACTTTTCAGCAAAAAAAAAAAAAAACACTACTTACGTATTTTGTGTACCTTGCTTTGACAACGACTAACGACAACATTGCAGGAACAGAGCCATACTGCAAATTTTTCTTTCGTTCTTTCTCTGTTGTATTTTATGTCTCTGGGCTCTGACACATGAAGTACAACGAAAGTCCTTGAACGGCTACAACGAAAGCTGGGGACAGCGTTTAAAGTGCTGACTTTCGAATATGTGGTGGCAAAAAGGAATCTGTCAAGGTGCAACAGCTTTCTTCATTCCGAAGATGAATCACGAATGTCCGCATGTTACCTTGACTTACATACTCTTTTGTGGACGTGACTCTGAAAAATAATTGCCGATTTATTTACACCATTTCATGAAACTGAAATGAGAAATTTAGCTGAAGTTACCCAAGTGCTACCAGCAGTAAGTGTGTAGCTGAGGACATTTGCTGTTGCATCACCAAGAATACTAATATAATAATAATAATAATAATAATAATAATTATAAAAGGCATTAGTAGCCAGGCAAGCTTTTGCTGATGGCAGTTCTAGCCTAGACAAACCAGACTGCCTTCAAGCCGAGTTGAAATCGCTTCTTACACCACTGCTTCTATTTTATCGATGCCAGCTAGATGCGCCTGATCCAGCTGTCCGCCACCCTCTTCTTTAGCCCTTCCCTGCTCTCACCCATCGCCTAGCCTTTGCTGGCGCTTAGCTGTCATGGGCGAGCGAGCACCCTCGTGCAGTGCCTCGCGACGGAAATCATACGATGTAATTTTTCGTTAGTTGCGTACAGATTCGTGGGGTGGCGTCTTGCATTCCTCGTGTTTACTATGTTGGCGGTCACGCTGGCTTTGAAAAATATACGGTGTTTTTAGATAGCTCGTTGCCGTTCGTGGCACTATACAAGCAACCAATGGGAAAGCATCCCTGCAACTGCTTTTAGATGCGCTGTGCTGTGATGTGGCAGCGACATTGCTTCGAGCCACAAAAAAGAAGCACGAAGGAACAAACTTGACAGATGTACGATATTGTATGAGAAACATGTCTATTGCATTTCCGGGGGAAAGAGCTCGGAAGCACATGAGGCGCAAGCAGCGCGACCCCTTATGCAGCGTCGCATCACAACCATTTCCTGAACTAAGGCGGACCGACGGCTCCCGTTGATAAGCGCGCATTTGCACTGGCATTGAAAGAAATAAAGGAGGCGTTGCCTAGACAAACATGCATAAATTTAGAGATGTGAGTAATCTTGTGGTTCGAAAGCCAGATATGCCGGGTGATATGTAGTAACAACAGACATCAAATAGTGCATGTACCAACATGGAAGCTAAGGAATGCTTTAGCCAATGTGAGGGACAAGTTGCCGAGCAGATATTTCCTTGGTCTTGTTTATGCCATAGGCTGCCACAATTGTGACAGCCAGTACATTGGTGAAACTGGCGATTTCAAGAAAAGAGTTAAACAACACAAATATGATGCCACGGAACGACGCATTGCCTAAACTGCCCTCGCTGAACACGTGGAATCTACAGACCACGAAATAGACTTGTAAAACGCACGTCTTCTGGACAAGGAAAAAACTCGCATCTTCCCACGGGAGGGGACTTGAGTAAATGCATCACGAAGCGGTGGAGGTATCGCGTGTATATTGCGCAATTGGGTAAGGTTTAGGAATGTTTAATTGTTATTTCATCTTTATTATTCGTATTTATTGAATGAAGAAGAAACGTTGCCTTCAACGAGTGGTGGGACACTGATGTCGGGTTGTGCCCCACTTCTGGTTGAAGGTACTGTTGCTTCCATCGCATCCACTCTAGTCGAGCAAAGCATCAAGTCAAGCGTAAGTCAAGTAAAGATGCCTTTGATTGCATACCAAACGCCCAATCCAGTGCCTACATATACGGGTTGGTCAGTGATTGGTTGTGCAGTGCAAGCAGTCGGTTTTCATTAGCAGACGCTGCCTGCATCTGCCTTGCGATGCGAGAGATGGGGGGGGGGGGGGGGAGCAACAGTTGGCACAAGATGCAAGCATGCGCAGTAGGGGTGTGGGCACCCCCGCTGACGCCGCACTTACGAGTAGATGCGACTATAAAATGCTCCGCACTTAAAAGAAGCTTGCATCATATGTGCACCAGGAATATACAAATACAGACGAATGCACATATGCGCAAAGGAGTGATGGTGGGATGCTTCTGACAATGTACTCTCGCTAGTTACGTCACGTACTGTATTTAGGCGTACTTAGATACGCTGTGTCTTTCTTATGGCTTTTATTTTACGAACAAGGCTCCCGTATCGGGTGCTGCAATGCCTGTCAACTTTGTGTTCTGTGGGTCGGTGTATCCTTCCACGTTTACATTAAGAAGCAACAGTTATGTCATCATTTTTTTTTCACACGCCTTCTAGCAGCTCACTGTAGTTGCAGTTGAAAGAGCGACTTTTTAAGCATTGATCAATGATAATGCTTATTTTTCTGACAAACGCACAGAACTGCTGTCAGTTTCCATGACCTGGCCAGGTTTTTCGAAATCCCCTGACTTCTCCGTGACTTTTCCAGAAGGATCCAAATTCCCCGACTTTTGCAGGTTTTCCAGGTTGGTAGACACCCTGAGCACAATGGGAAGGGTGGAGAGCGCATGAGTGGCAAGGGCCAGCTCACGGGCGACATCATCACAAGATTGACGAGTTACTACGGCTGGGCAGTCAAATCCCATTCCGGGAATCTGGACAAGATGCACAAGGCGGTGTGGGCTACATATTATCATGTGACGTTCACTGACCAAAAACCTAACCCCAGCTATTCTCGACAGGGCCCCAACTCATGCTGCAAGAACAAAGAAGCCATGGCAAGAAATGAGCACATGCCAAAAAGCAAGTACAACTTGCCAGAGGCTGTCAGCTATGCGCTGCGCCTTGTGTACGACCGCTTTTCTGACAAGAAGCTCCAGCAAAGATGTGTGAGAGCAAAAACACGGAATACGAATGAGGCATTGTACTCTGTTATGTACAGCCTGTCACAAAAAGACAAGAATGTGTAATTGTTTGCTGTTTAGACTGCCGTGGCAGATGCTGTTATGCCTTTCAACCTACGAAACAAGGAGTCAAGTTTACTTATTTTGGGCGAACTGCAGCTACAGGCAACAAGTCACGGCAGCCAGTGAGCAGTCGATAAAGACTACCGTTGTGCATCTAGCGCGAAGAGGAAGCGTGCATCTTCAGCGGCATTCTAGGCAGCCACAAGGAAGAAGCACAGATAAAAGCCTGCTTCATATTACTCTCTAAGGGCTTTCTGAGGGATAAGTTTTGTAGCTTCATGTTCATTTTTGCAAGTTTTCAGTTTTTTGCGATTTTCTCAGAGATTTGTAGCATGTTTTGAATTTCGGGATCAACAGTGCGTCATCAACACTAATTCGATTTTCTTTAATTTTTTTGCTTGAATGCTAGAGGATCAGTGAGTGCAAGAAAACGATAATAAAGTATTTATGAGATCTCAACATTATGAAATCTTCTAAAAAATACCAGCAAAAATTCACAGCTACGAAACTGCAACTTGAAGACTTCATAACTTTGGCTAAAATTCAGAGACAAACATTAAATTTCATATTTGCACTGTTTGAACATTCAGAAACGTGGCTGCTGAATTTGAGCTATCAAAATTCACTACTTTTTAAGCAAGCCACATCCCAAATTCATAAAGTAAAAATCGTTTTGTCTTTTTCTTTCTATTTCTGGGGGGGGGGGGGGGGGAATTGGTGTAAAGATAATGTAATCACACATTTAAAATCAGTATACAAACTGAACATTCTCTGGAAAAATCATGTGTCTGGAACTAATTAATAGTAACAAATTTCGCTTTCTGGAACGGTGTCCCCACTAGCAAAAACCAACACTCCATAGTAAGCCACTCCATAATAGATAGGTCCTTTGACAAGCATACTCTTATAAAGAGTCAGGGTGACATAATATGACCCGATTTTTCACATACTAAAGAAGTATCATAAGGATGTCTGGTCTAAAGAAAGAAATGAGATTAAATTTATTCAAAATTTTCTTTACGTATAGCATTCCTAAGCTCTTCACTAAACATGCAGTTGACTTTTGGCACTATTCCATGTGCCCGACAAGCAAGATGGAATAAGAATAGCATTATAGTGGGTGCCTAGTCACAGTTTCCTCTACCAGACCTAGCTCCCAAGAGGTTGTGACCCAACAAGCATAGTGGCTGCTGACAACTGCCATGGCATAGTCAATGCATTCACGCCATCATCAAGACTTTAAGAAATTTAAGAAATGTTCAGCCTGCATGCTCAACTTAAACTAAATAAGTGGGGATTTTTATTCTTATGTTGTTTTTTTATTCCAGGTACTCCAGCTCCAGCTATTCTAAAATAAAATTCATCGTCATTCCGTAAAAACATGAATAAAAAAAAATCTTGAGAGCACTTGCCTCAAATGGTTAAGAGTAGTCAAGTTGCTGATATTGTACCACTATATTCATTTCATTTCCACCAAGATATTGTACACTGTCACTTTAAAAAATTCATAAAGTAACTTGCATTACAATGAAGAGGTATCGTCGTGACTTTGCCACATATCAGAAGTCACTTGCTACTTTTCTTGCTTACAATAATACAATTTAGTAATGACTGCCCATGAAAAGGGTGCAGTAGTATTTTTAAAGGGACACGAAAGTCAAATAACAATTTACATCAGAGTGAAAGCTCCATGTATGACATCTAAAACGACAATATTATCAACAACAGTGCCCTGCTTACTGAAAAATTGAGGTAAATGCACAAAAACACATGCGCCACAGTAGGACATTGTCAAAATGATCCCGATGACATCATACGAACCGCCTACAATTATTCACTAGTAATCGATCTAGCTGCACTAAATAAAGAACCTTTCGTGCATCAAGAGATGCAATAAAATGCCGCCTGATTGTTTAAGTTCGATTCGTGGAAAAAAAAAAAAAACACCGGACGTTACTATGGGGAATGGCGCAAGTGGTTCAAAAATACAATTTTCGTGTAGTTACATCGGACAGGTGGTGCCATCTAGCGGGGCACAGTTGAATAAAAAAAAAACGTCAGCAGTCTCTGGGCAAATGGTGGGAAATCCATAGATGGCCATTGTTGCTGCTGTTGCTCCCGTTGCTTTTGGTCTGCTGCTACTAGTGCAGTAAGGCCGGGCAACGTTGTGCACGGCAACAGTGACGTGAGTCGGTCTGGTTGGTCCGCTTCTTGAGGCGGGTAATTTGAAGTGCGCTAACCCAATGCAGACCACTAAAATGTAATTTTATTTCAAAATAGGCCCTTCCTTGGCACAAAAGTAACGCTACGAGGTTTCTAGACTGCTATTTCAACAAACAACAATTACTTAGTAGTTGCCTTTAGTGTCCCTTTAAAAGAGTTCTTGACTGAGTAATTCATTTCAGTGAGTGAGTACTTCACTCACTCTTATTTACATAACTCAGGCTATCTGTTTGCATCCAAATATGAAAGGCTCTCTCATGCTTTTTGTTGTGGTCAATTAGCTCTTGATAAACATGCCCAATGTGTGGTAAAAAATAAAGGTGAACAGTTATGGTCCCTCTTATGGCTTGATCAATTTACAACAATTGTCAAACATAGCATAGACAATTCACCACTCTGGCTTGCATTTGTATCCTTCAGTTTTTGCTATTTTTATTAGTATTAATAAAATCTAACTAGCTCAACTGACAGTTCTGTCGGGACAGCTTACAGCAGCAATTATAATGAGCCACTCACCTGATTTGATGTAATGCCACTACGAAGTGCTTGCCGGACACTCTCTCTTGTTAGTCTGGCAACAACAAGGTTTGGAAACCTGTGCGCAGCAAAAAAACGTGTGATCTCTGACTGCTGCCGTGCGCTAGTTAAGCATGGGAAAAAATTAGAGTAGACTATTAGAGTAAACAGAAACTGAAGGAACTAGGAAGATTGGTTCCGATTAACAGGAATTCTGTTAACTAAGAGATGAACATGACTGAAGAGTTCAAAGAAGAAACAAATCCTACTAGATGAAGTTGTTCCATTCAAGCAACAGTTTTGTTCAAGAGATTTCTGTTTACTGATAGCCTACTGAAGAATCATACATCTAACCTGTACAACAGCTCACAAAACAGTGCTAGCAGGGCTACCTGGAGTGGAGAATCTGAAATGCAAAAACATGTAACATTTCAGTTTGATACTATTCAAAACATCTTATTTTTAGCACTAAATTAACATCTTTTTTTTTTCTTTTGCATACATTGAATACAGATCAGACAGAAAAAACACCACACATATATATGTAAAAGGACTTACTTGTGTAGGCATACACCCTGTAGTTGGTCTCAACCATTATGTAACCTGCCTCAAAGCTGCGCAGGGTAGTCTCCTTCAGTCCAGATGCCAGGTTGATGGCAAGCCGAGTTGGGTAGAAACGACCTGACCTCCGCTAATAAAGGTAAAATCAGCATTCTTGAAATAGGCTCTGAAGCAAAAGGGGCCTCCTATTTTATCACTAATTACCAAATCAGTTTAGAAGCACACTACAGCTTGTTCTGTAGCAAATTTTTTTTTTTACACATCAGTGCTTCCAGGACATTCATGTAGGCCATTTTCATTCAGTAATTACACATAGCTCAAAGAAATCCACTAAAAAAAAACTACAATTTTTTTCTATGCTACAGGGTAACTGCGTGGAAACATACTACTATTTAAAAGCCTCACTTCCATTTTTTTGACTGAAAACTTTATGTTAAACACAAAAATGAAGGCCAGCCTCATATCACTAGTCCCGTTAATTAAGGAGGCAATCACCGTGTTAATTCCAAGGGCTGACGTATCGGCCCCCCAAACTACACCACGAAAGCATGGAAAATTTAGATTTGGGCCTTTCTGGCGCGCCAGCAAACTATTGTTAGCGTAACCCTAGGACGCAAAAAATTGCTTTCAGAGAAAAATGACTTTGAAGATTTAAACCGATGTCCATGTAACAAAAGCAAAAGTCAATGCGCCTGAAATTCACCAGGCTGATAGCTTGGGACCTCTTTTGAAGTGGTACAGGCTTTTCTTGAGCGAGCCAAAAGAAGTATTTTTTTCCTAGCTCGTTTTGTGTCTGTAGGTGACTCTCATCCCCATGGTTCCTCAGTGGGTCCTCGTTTTGTGTCTGTAGGTGACTCTCATCCCCATGGTTCCTCAGTGGGTCCACGCTTGGCATACTGAATGGCTAACTTGTATTTACGCTTCTGTTTCATCCTATACTTTGCCATGTTGTATGAAATATCATAGGTTTCTCTTTAAAAAGCCAGATATTAACCTTAGAACTCTATATCGCATACAAAACAACACTCACGACTGAACGAAAACGTGCACAATTAGACAAGTGGAGTGTTCCAAACAAGCAGTGAAAATTTTAAAATAAAGTTAGAACATTATGTTCTGCAAGCTCTAAAACGTGTTAGAGCATTATATGATATGTACATGAAAAATATTTATGACGAGATGGTAGGTGTTGTGGAAACAATAACATTCAATTTCAGTTTTGGATGCATCCATTAGGGGTTGAAAAAATGGTGATAACTTTTGAGTGACTCAACATAGTTACATCATTTTTTCTCTAAGTATTCTTGAATAGACAGTGCACTCAAGAATGTCAAATACCCCAAAAAATTTTTTTTCAAAAACTGTGTTTTGGAAGGGGCTGACTTACCCTAACTAACCAATACACTTATAGACTGAAATGTTTCCCAAATAAATTCAGTCCAAAGTTCTTGGAACAAAGTTTAAATGCTTCTCTTCAAGGAAACAAGCACTCAAAGTCCAGTGGCGGTTGTCGTTCCGCTGCTCTCAAAGTTTCTCTTCTAGGAAATCTCGCGTCGTCAAATGGCCGCACTTAGATAACGAAACTTTTTCGCTGGTAACACGTCGGCCAGTCACGCGCTGCGACTGCAGAACATATCTTCAACCACAGGCCATAAGCAAACACTTCTGCCTGTAGCACAAGCTTTCAGCAGCAGGAGGAAAAACTTTTCATCTCCTCCTGCGACTCCCTTCACTGCTGGCTTATATACGTTCGCCGTGGGTTCTAGAAGTTTCGCCGGCGCACTGCACAGCTATAGCTAGAGAAGAGGCGAGACTTTTTTCGAACTCTCCGTGTGCCGTGACGCAACCAGAGAGTGACTGACGCCTTCCTTTTCGATGTTTCTGGAATTCGCTCGGCGATAGATGTGAGGAGGTTAGATGCGAGGAGGTTAGTTGGTGGCGGTGCCTTCAAGGGGGAAAGAAGGCTCGCGTGTGGCACCCTTTGATGCTTATTTCTTCTTTGCGCCAGCTTTCATTACGTCCGAATGACACCCGGTATGGTCGCCGCTGCTAGAATTCGGAGGAGCGCTCGTTTGTGACATTGCCCCCCACTTTAAGAATATTATCACATAATATACAAAACAACACAAATGAGTGTGAACCAAACATCACATAATAAATGCCCCACATATAGAGTCTCTAATTCAGTCCATCCCTCATGGCATGTAACATTCCCAATAGCACACTCAATAAAATTTCAAATTGCAATTCGCTTTCACGGCACATGAAATATAACCAGATGTACTACAACACTCCGTCACACATTTTAAACAATACAAACGTACAAGGGTCCACCCTTACAACACTTATGTAAACTTATAAATGACATCACGTCACCGCGACAGACACTTTGGGCTCAATCGACATACGTAAATTTAAACACAGCATAACGATAAAACACTCAATGAGGTTTAAACTGCCCAACACATTCAAACTCAACCTCAACATCTATCCTGTGTGCTCCATGTCATGCTTACATCCTTTTTTGTGATGCTCACTCCACCTTTCCTTATTTTTTTTTCTTTCTGTTTTGGCGAGCCACTTTGAACGACAGTATCTGAGGTGGCTTCTCTATCATGGTCGACACTTTCGACACTGTTAGGGTCCTCTCACGTTCAAACGGTCGCTGCTGATTCTTCGCCAACTCATGCACGACGCGGCTTTGGGTCTGGCTAGCCAACTTCACCACTTTTTCACTCTTTGTTGACGGTGGTCGTTTTGCTGCAGTCTCACCTGCTCGACATGTTTTCCCGTCTGGCCTGGTGACCTCATGACTGCCTTTTCTTTGCACCATGGCTTCATCTTGAGCTCGCGCAAAATGTTCTGGGCCGTGCGGCCCTCACGCTCCGTCAATGTTTCTGATGATAAGGTCGTACAGGGGGGTCGTCATGCACAGGGCAGTAACTTTCCCGCTGAAGTAAGATGTCTCAACTTCAATCTCAGCTTCAGGAAGCATTCGAACCGAGCCGTCAACGAAGCAAACAGGCCTCGTTTCGCCTGTCAGCTTGCTGTCACACCCTAAATTCTCCCACACGATCACAGAAGAGCTTCCTGTGTCTCTTAATACGGTGATCTTCTTGCCCGCAACTTTCCCAGGCAGCGTTGGTCGTCCCTTCATAACACCTGTTGGTCGTGTTGTCATGACAGCACCCACCAATACAAAGCTTTTTTCCGCTTTTGAGCTCCACAAATCCTTCGCTAATGTCTTCATCTTCGTCTTTTGGTCATGCATGCAGGCTACTTGGTGGGTTTTACTCGCTTCGTTTTGACATACGTCTGCCTTGTGCCCAGATTGACCACATTTAAAGCATATTGTTACACTGGGACACATGAAGTTGGTTTGACAACTGTTAGCGCAATAACCCACTTGGATACACATCAAGCATTGCATAACACTCTCCGGGGCATGCTTTTTTTTTTTCCGGTGCCAATTTTTTCAGCTGTTCGGGATTCTCCTTCTTGACTTCGGACATATTCGTGCCACCCTGTGCTTCAAAGAATTGATCGGCCAATTCAAGCATGTCTTCCAGCGACTTAGCTCTCCTTTCCTTCAAGTACAGCAACCGGCTCGGGTGACAACTGGTGAAAAATTACTCTCTAATAAGGAGCTCTCTAAGCTCACCGTACTCCTGAGCTGTCCCTGCAAGCTTGATCTATCTGTCAAAACAGTGGCTAAGTCGAGTGGCATACTGCGTAGTCGTCTCACCATCACCTGGCTTTCCCTTCCGAAATCTGTCTCGGAGGTGCTCCAGAGTGAATCTGAATCGCTTCAGTAAAGCAGCCTATACTTTTGCATAGTTCGCTGCATTGGTTGGCGTCAGCCTTCCGCACACACTGAGCGCTTCACCACTGAAGCAAGTACTCAAAGCAGTTGCCCATTGAAGCTCCGGCCGATTCCGACTCCAAGCAAGTCTCAAATCTGTGAAGGTACACATCAAGGTCGTCCTTCCTCTCATAAAACGCTACGAGTAATTTGCTTGGATTCAAACGGAAGCTATTATCTTGCTTTATGCTGCTGTTGACTCTAGCCAGGACAAGAGTTTCACTTCGCTGTTGAAAACGGAGCTACTCGAGTTCAATCTCGTGCTGCCGCTGCCTTTTCCTCTCAGCCATCTTAGCTTCTCTTTCTTCCTTCGCCCTTTCAGCTGCCAGCCTTTCTTTTTCCAGCTCCAATTTCAATTGCTGTTATCTTTCTTTTTTGAAATGCCGCTCCTTCGCCTCTCTTTCTTCTTTCACCGTTTCAGCTGCCAACCTCTCTCTTTCCGCCGCCTCTTTCTCCTTCTGGCTCACCTACTTCCGTAGTTCGGCGCTAGGAAAACCCATCTTCCCACCAAGAGTTACTAGCTTGTCTGGATTCATGGTGCTTCTCAAATAAAACTCAGCCACATGCACAAACTATCTGCCTGACTCTGAATATCGAAACACGCTCTGCACACTTGTTAGCGAGAATGCCGTGTAACAAACAAAAAATCGTTCCGATAGCACTACCAGGGACTCTAAGCTCTTTCTCCCTACTTTTGACACATTGCGCACCGAAAAGGTCCTGTCACGGATGCCAGAATAATCGCACTAGTCCCGTTACTTATGGAGGAAATCGCCGGGCTGATTCCAAGGGCTGATGTATCGGACCCCCGAACTGCACCAAAAAAGCACGGACAACTCAGATTTGGTCATCTTTGGCGTGCCAGTGGAACGCCAGCTGTGGTCCAAAGAAGGAGGCAAGGCATGACTGAGCATATGCGCCTAGCAAATGAAATGTTAGCAGACCAGCTGAGCCCCACGTCACTTCTTTCTCAGGAGAAGTGGACAGCGGTGGCACAATTTGTAAGCGACCGCGAGGAAGCACTCCCAGTGCTAAAAATGGCAGGCTTGGTGGTGGCCATCTTAAATCATGCTATATACCCGTGATACAAATCAATAAAACTGATAGCCATTCGTCCATTAGTTCCATTTTGGGTCACGAATTGCTACTATGGGTCAACAGCTACTCTTGGAAACAAAAATCTTGACATGAGTAAATTTGATGTCAGTGCTCCTTTAATTATCCACATATACAAAAAGTAGACTTGGTGAAAAGTACATCTTGACTAGACTGTGAAAGAATAATTCAATGCAAAACAAGCCCTCGAAGTCACCAGCTACAAACACCGTCAACCGCCAACAACCCCCGGCGACCATGGTGCCTGGGACGTCATGCGCTTCACCGAGCAGGGCCCTATTCTTCTACTTTACTTTCAGCCACTGCAAATCATTTAATTTCAGTACCAAGGCGAAGAAAGTGAAAATAATATATCTTGACTTGATGCGCAGCTGATCACAGAACAATATCGTTCGCTGGAATGCAGACACTCACACAGCGCGCTATTTGTTACGTCACGGCTAGCGAGTGCGCCAGTGTTGTTGCCCAGTCTCGGACTGCGTGCGTGTCTGCAAAAATATTCAATAATTAAGAACAGAACCAAATGAGCAAAAATTTGGCCAGCTCATTTCTGAACGTACAAAGCACATAACACAGATTATGACAGAAAATTCGGTGCCATGGCCCCTTTATTTGCCACCCTTGGCCGTGACTTCCAAGCAATGCATAGGGTGTTTCGAATCTCAGAGACTGTAATTAGTACAAAATACTTTTTTTTTTCAAATAAATATCTCAAAGGCCATGCTTTTTCGACTAGAAATATGTCGTAAACACGTTTGAGCAAATGGGTTCACATCTACCAGGCAGCAATGTGGCGACAGCGATCATGATCATCATCGTGTCCCAACAGCGAAGGTTGCCATGCTAGTAAAGTGAACCTTTTGTGCACTTTTTGTGTCCTTTGGAATTCAGCTGCTGAGGTTTGTGCGAGTCAATGTGAGTGCTCCATTCGTCTCAGCCTGCTATAACTGCCCAGCTCATGGCAACATTCAGAACCTGCATACAATTAAGCTGGTATTTCTGCTCCCCAACACGACATCACTATTGCAGCCGATAGACCAGGTCATCATACTACACACGAGGAAGGTATATTGCTATCATGTTATAGCGAACGCTCATTTGCTATGATAACAACAAGGAGTATACCATTGACCTCCTTGGTGCTATATGTCTCATTGTTTATGTGCAGGTGCAGTTGAGACCCCTTTTGTTCGATTGTGTTTTGAGCATGCCAGGTTTGTGAAGGAAGAGGCAGTCTCTACGGAGTGTACTGTTCCTGCCCATTTGAAGAAGGGGGGACTTGCTGCACTTGCTATGAAGCGCTGCACGCAAACTAGAAGTGCACTCCAGTTAGACTCTCTGAGTACGCGAATGTCAAGCGCAGTGCATACTTCTTATGCCAACATAGACAGCGCTATCCCTGCGAGAATGACTGACTCGGCCTCCAATGTTGACAGGAATGACAAGCTCTCCCGAGCACTTCCTTTGGCGGCGATCATCGGTGCGTTGAGTGTTGTGCTCAGCTTCATTTAAATGTAATGGCAGCGAGGCTGAGATGCATTGCCCCATTGACAGGCTGGAGAATATGACTTCAGTGCTGGGAACTACCGGAAGCATTTGTCTCGCATGGAGATATTTTTTCCCACGTAGGCAGACTTTCAACAAAAAAAGTGCAACTCCCCTGTATAACATTGTTTGGCTGATTTTTTTTATTTAGTATTGTTTTGAATAAGTGAGAATACCACTTAATTCGGATATTTTCATCAGTCCCGAGGCCTTTAAGCTAATAAGGTTTTACTATCATATGGTGGTTTTGGGACGTTAAACCCTCACATACATCTAATGAGGTTTTACTGTAGTTAAAATTATTTTAAAGGCTCGTCACTTTTGGGCTAGGTGCTTGGTGGCAGGCTGATGGATCATTTAAACAATTCTTGAATTTCCAGGGCACTAGCAAGGTTACCTTTATGTCAACAGAGTATGAGAATTGTGAAAGCGGTTGACATAATGGCTGTTCAGAAGAGTACATTTTACACAAGTATCAAAAAGTATTAATATGATAAATGTGTGCTTCAATAAAGTTTTTTCCAACTAAACTAATAAATGTGTGCTTGTGCATGTGATGCATACAAATTGCAAGAGTGGGCATGGATTACAGGATTATTCATATGGGGTACGAATAATTACTTATATCTTTACGCAAAGTGTTTGGAAAAATTGATTGATTGATTGATATGTGGGGTTTAACGTCCCAAAACCACCATGTGATTATGAGAAACACCGTAGTTGGGAGCTCCGGAAATTTCGACCACCTGAGGTTCTTTAACGTGCACCCAAATCTGAGCACACGGGCCTACAACATTTCCGCCTCCATCGGAAATGCAGCCGCCGCAGCCGGGATTCGATCCCACGACCTGCGGGTCAGCGCTAAACCACCGTGGTGATGCCAAACTTAAAATTGGTCCACAGTCACTTGTGGAGCATGAAAATTATTCTGTATTTAAAGAGCGGTATTGCTCTGGGACTAAAAATAGGCCACAAAAAGATCTCTTTATTTTCATGTTTGACAAGCCTTCCCACTATGTTTGCAAATTTAACATATATGCACGCTAACAAAAGTTCTCGTGCTATAACATATTAATGATGGTGCTTTAAAAAATCCAGCAGGACAACAAATTCTGAGCTCACCTTTCTTTGATAAACAAGTCCGAACTCCCTCAGATGCTGCAGGAAAACTAGCAGAGATTCTGACATGCCTTCAGTGCTGTAATCCTGGAAAAAAAAAAAAAAGAGCATGCTGCCTACCTTTCTGGCTTTATCCAAAAACGATAACATCAATGTAAAAAACGTGTCGCTACTTAAAAGTGATGGTTAATCTCAGCACTGCACAATGTACAAGACATGTCCTTATAGCAAAACTTTTTAGGAGCTTGCTCGACAAGCTTCTTATGCTCGAGGCATGTTCTTTGGTGTGCACGCTAGAGGTGCAGCTCAGCAATGTATTCACTACACGCCCACCGTAACTGTCATAAAGTAGGGAAGCACCCACTATTCCACCATGCTATTCGTTATTCGGCTGATAAGCGAGGTACCCACTACACATCTGTAAGCCACTATGTGCATTTTGTGCTACTAAGAAGGCTCGTCAACACGCGGACCCCGAAGTGAGAACACGCAAAGCAGAGGCGGCACGCAAGAGGCAGCACGCAAGGGGCAGCACACAAGAGGCGGCAAGAGAACATCGACTCGGGACCTGTATCAAAATTGCCTTCTCCAAGTTTCAACTGCAACCTCTAATTCAAGAACCCTTCTCCACATACTTCACCAACCACAAAATCGTGGTCTCCAAAGAGAAACCCATCCTAAAGTAATCAGTAATGTAAACCTTGCATATAATTGCATCGATATGTAAATGATTACATGTTGTGTGTGAGTGTGTATATATATATATGTGTGTATATATATATATATATATATATATATATATATATATATATATATATATATATAAAATCACGCCTATAACAACGTGTCTCGTCTTTACATGATGGTAGAGGGCTTGTATGCAGGATTCACGGGTTCTCCTGATCAGTTACGAGCAAGCTTCTCCATTATCATTCCCTTCGAGGAGATGGCAGAATATTTTAGGGAGCGAAGCTCCTTAAGGCGTCACCCGATCGTACTTTGTAGTAACCACTTCTCTCGTGTATGTACTACAGGAAAGTTTAGTTCTTAAAATGTCCGCTAGATGGCGGTACTAGTACACAACGGATATATAATGAAAATATCTTTTTTGGAATGTCCGCTAAATGGCGGTACTTGTATATAATCAATATATGATGAAAAGATGCTCCTCAAGGTGTCACCTGATAGTCCTCTGTAGTAACCAACTCTTTCGAGTATGTGCCACAGGGGAGTTCTTGGAATGTCCGCTTGATGGCGGTACTTATATATCATCTATATATGGTGAAAAGATGCAGGATAGTGGTACTTGGAGTGTTCACTAGGATGGACATACAGCCACATGGACGGACAGATCGACCCACGATTGGACGGACGGGCGGATGCACCAATGGACGAACGGACGCTTCGCCCCACTCATCATCATTCAGTCCGTGGATATGCTGCGATTTCTTTAACACCCTATTTCACTTCTATCATTATCCAATTTTTTTAATGTAAGAAACCTTCATAGAATTTGAGAGGACTTTAGCTGCAGAACAAAAAAAAAATCACGGCATATCCTCAAAATGAATGAGTGGGTGAAGCAGTGGAATTGGTCTTATCGCAATTCACCCGTGACATTTACCACTGACGCATGTAAATGAGTGACAAAGCGGTGCACAGTTAAATAAAATGTTTATTGGTGATAAATAGTATGTTGTGCTGAGCTGTGAATTTCATTTTGCCTTCATTATTACTGCTTTGTGGTATGAGCTCTAGCCTGGCGATGACGAGTCTGTGCACATTCTCCTGGCGGTTGTTGATTTACAAAATAAATTTAAATTAAAGAAAGCCAATATTTCAATGAAAATTCTAGCCACGTTTTCCTGCATAATTTAGCCAGCACAATTGGTAGTACATACACCAACATTTCCTTGGCAGTTCAGCACTCTTATAAGTGGGCTTCCCTATATCTCAAAATGGATAAATCCTGAGCACTCACGACAGAGCCCTTTTGTTTTTCTTAAAAAAATGCTAAAAAGCAAAAAGATTTTTTACGTATTAGTAAAGTACAATTTAACAATCTCAAAAACACCACTTTTACCAGGACACGACGCTTAGCAAGCGAGAAAGTGTGGGAAAAGAAAATGAGAGTGAAGATGCCACCTTGAGATTCCCGCACCAAACACCGTGACGTCGTATATTTTGAAGGCGTACAGAGTCCCATGTAGGTTCTCATCAACAAAAATGAAGTACATCTTCATCTGCGGATGCCACAGAGCCTAGCATACAAAGTTTCAGAAAATTTCATCAAGCCAACGTAACGAAAATACAAACTTTGACATCATGCACGAAGATTTAGACGCAAAATTAAAAAATCAAGCTTCAACCCTGGTTCTCTCTGCTAATAATGAACTTATGATAGTAAAACATGCAGCATTAGAGTTTTCAGAGAGCATTTTGTCAATCTAAATCATGTCATTGTTTCTCTTCAGTGTCCCTTTAACAAATATTGTTTGTAAACTTTCAATACTATATACAGCATTCCTTCAGTATACATATATTTTTTTCTACCATGGCATTTATTTTGTTATCACACTACGCCACTATTTTGAAGCAGAAGTTCACCAAGTGGATACCTGCTCTACAGATGAGTTCATTAATATTTTGGAAGGCTATAATAAATGAAGAAAGACAAAGTACCTATGTAACACATCCTTTGAAATTAACCTACTACAAAAGCAGAAAAAACGAAAACTCGATGCCTGACATCTTTCATAAAAAGTATACACTACATGAATGTGTCCAGAAATAAGCACTCCCAGGAGAAGAAAGAAAGCAGGCAAACAAACTAAACAGTCCAATATGAAGTTCAGTAGGGTTGATAGCTGGGCTAGTTGGTGAGACATCATTTAACCATATGGTGTAGTAGCGCAAATTTGACGGGGACGAAGAGGACAAGAAAACACGACACTCGCTACACTCGCAACTAATTTTTATTTCAGAAGCAGCACTTCATATATAACCCAAAACCCTAGCGACACAGAAAAGAACTACGAACACTGAATCATTGCCAACAGAAGCTTTTGCGCAGACTCAAACGACAGTACACGGCAGTTAAGCTTAGACACTTTTAGATGACATAACTAAAACAGCCCTAGATAACATCCAATCAAAAAAACAAAAAAAAACTAAAGATTATGCGGGAATTCACACGTGTTTGAAACAAAATTTTTGAAACGACAAGAAGGAGAGTATGACACATGCAAACACTGATCTCAATTAAGTCCTTCGAGGTAGCTGGCTTCTCGGTTACTTAACGAAACCGGTGACTGACTAATGCATCCTTCTTTTCTTTTTTTAATGTGAAAGGCTTCGACAATTTCCCTGGTTAGTTGGTTTCCATGACGGAAGACTACGGTTGTGTCACTGTACAGTGGTGAGCAGCCACACTGGGAACAGTGTCTCTTTATGTGAGAATGAATGTCAGTTCCTAATGATCGCTTGTGTTCTAAAAGTCGGGTGTTCAAACAACGACCCGTCTGGCCGATGTATACCTTTCCACACGTTAGCGGCAAGCAATACACGACTGATAGGCTACACTTAACAAACTTTGTTGTGTGATTTACCGTACAACTACCAGCCTTAGTGTTTACTGCTATGGAAACTTTACGGTCTAGTTTGGAACATATTTTACTAAGCTTGTTGGGTGCCGAAAAAACTAATTCTAGGCCATAGCGATTACCTAAGTTTTTTAAGTTATGGGCAATCTTGTGCGCATATGGAACTGACACTATCTTCTTCCTGTTTTCATTACTTGTCATTTTTTTATGAAAGTTGTTGCGTACGTGACTAATCAGCTTGTTAGCTGATCTACATAACACGTGTTTTTCGTACCCAGCATTTTTTTAGCCTGATAATTTGTTGGTTGAAGCTTTCGCTAATTTTTTCTGGACATGACTTTGTTAAGGCTGCTCTCAAACATGAAAAGGCTATGCCACTCTTCACAACTTTAGAATGTGCCGATCGGTAGCTAAGTAAGGGTTTTTCCGTTCGCGGATTGTATGACCAGCATACAGTCCAATATGACATTAGTATTAGTGTTCCGTTTATATTTTACTTCGTTTACAGAATACTGCAGTCTCAGAACAGAGCCCATGCAGGAGTGGCTATCAAGGGTGAATGAATCACAAGCACTTATACAAGAAAAAAAAAGAATAGCATTTCTCAATCAAAATAAGACTAAATACAATATATTCCCAGACACATAATTTATACACTCAAGTACACATATGTGTACACGAAGTGATTCATAATTAATAGTTAACTTAAACACATAATAGAAAGTAGACCTGTGCGAATAGCAAAAGTTTAGGTGCCTAGCGAATTCGAATATTGAAGTGCGAGTGCAAATTGAATCGAATACTTTTCGAATGTTCTAGACTATTTTTCTAATAGTTTGAAGTGATTTTGAGAGAAAAAAAGTTGGAGAGGACTCGTAAGCAAATTCTTATCAGATAGAGGAACACGAAAGTGTTTCTTTCTACTAGGTTGATGAGGTGGTAGCGGGGTGATAGTATTTTATAGTTGTGTTATCAAAAATGAGGCAATGCAGAGGCCAAATTTTATTAGTACATGATTTGGTAGAACCAAAGTGTTACCGAGTACACTTTACACGTGAAAGGCAAAGTGCTATTTTTTCAGCCTCTCCTCCTCATTCAACCTCTGTGGCTGCCCAACTGATTTGGCAGGCAAGAATGTGCTCTCTTCCGAGTTAGGAGTTCCAAATCTGTCCCGCAGACGTCAACATACAAGCACATTTGAAATTTTCAATGCTAAAGTCTTCGGCGCTCAACTTTTCGAACTTCTTGCCCAAACTTCATGTCCAAAACAGCATTGAGCCCTCCCCCCCGTCACATCTGTCATCTCCACGTTAGAAACGTTTTCTTGAATGAATACATTTACGACAGTAAAGCCTGAAAGGCAGCTTTGCTGCAGTACAGGTGTATGATTGAAGTGAAGCGCGTAAAAAAATCTGGAGGAGCCACTGAATCCGACGACATGAAAAATTCGGCCTTAACAGAACCTGAAAGGCAGCTTTGCCGCAATGCGAATATGTGATGAGGCGAAGCATATTGAAGATTTCAAGGGGTTACTACTTTTAACGGGACATTGACTGCATTTGTTGCGTTGCTACCGAGGGCTTCCGATTCCAAGCGATTTTGGGAGCAATAAAATTTTCCTTTTGGAGCACTTTGGAGCAGGTAATTTTGCATCTGGGAGCACTCTGGAGCAGCTAGCTTCACATCTTGGAGTACACTGAAGAATCAAGTTGCATTTACATTTAAGGAGATGAATAGTTGTTTGGGGGCTCTTGTGAAGAGCTAGAAATACTTTGACTCATTGCAAATCTTAGGGAGCCAATCATCTAAGGAGCACTCCCTATCTCACTCGATGATGCAAAAAATAATGGCATCCTGCAGTTGAGCATTCTGGAACAACTTGTTCAGTGATTATTTTCGTAACAACTAAACAGAATGCTAGCTAAATAAAATTGTACTTTATGAAATGACATATAAATACACTTATGCGGTTATCAGCAGACATAGTAAACAAATGCTGCAATGTACAATAATGCCTAGAAGCTATAGACTCACACTGTCCTAAATGTATTCTTCTAAGACGACTCCAAGGATGAAAAAAAGTTTTTTTTTTACTTGCGATTATTTTGCTGGGCCAAAGCCTCCTCTATTTTATCAATGCCAGCTAGATGCACCCAACCCAGCCATTCACCACCCTCTCTTGTAGCCCCTTCCTGCTCTCGCCTATCGCCTAGCCTTCGCGTGTGCTTTGCAGTCATGGGGGAGAGATTCAGTGCCCCACGACAAAAATCATATGAAGCAATTTTTTGTTCAGTGGTGTACAGATTCTTGGGGTGGTGTCTTGCATTCCTCATGTTCACAATAATGGCGCTCACACTGGCTCTGTAAAAGATACAGTGTTTTGAAATAGTGCGTCGCGGTTCATGGCGCTATGCTGGCAGCTAATGGGGAAGGGTCACTGCAATGCTAGTGCATGCACTGCGCTGTGATGCAGCAGCGGCATTGCTTCGAGCTAAAACAAGAGAGCATGAAAAAACAAATCAAATCACAGGCTTAAAAAAACATTTTTATGGTTTGCTTGAAAAATTAACAAATATTGCACCAGTAATTTATGACATTTAAAGCTTGAGTGTAATAAAAAAAAATTTGCGTGAAATAAAAAAATGTCGAATTATGTTGACCCAGCACCAAGCACACCGCCTTCAAATGCTGCTACTCGGTATGCAACACTGTCAATGTCTGGCGCTGCTGCCGCATTGAAAGCAACTGAGGACATTGCTGGCACCAATATGGAAAGGCTTCATCGTGCATGAATAGATCAAGAGCATATATTTATGACTTCGAATCTCTGCTTATCTTAAAATCATACCTGCCAAGTTCAAGGATTTTGAGTCCGGGAGATTTCCACAACGAGGGAGGGGGGGGGGGGTTGAATTATTTGCCCCTAGTTTTTTTTTTTTTTCAGCACAAAAAAAACCCAAAGACAAACAAACAAAACAAAACGTCCTGAAAAACAAGAGGGGGTGGGGTTTCAATCGCAAGCGCCAATAGAAGAATTGCGGTCTTATAGTGGCTTGGAATGGCGAACACACGAGGATAGGGTTGCCAGGTGAGAGTCTCTAAAGATCAACACAACTAACAGAATCGAATTCTGTCAAAACAACTCGCGTATGTCTTTCTGAGACACACGTGAACGGACGGGACGGCGCAGCTGGTTGCCGCAAAAGCGCAGATCAAAGCTTTGCTCACTACTAGATTCTTTTGACAGGAACGCCAAAACATGTCTGGCCCCTTTTTATTACGGTAGCAATTATATGGACAGTCTAGGCTGGTTTTCTGCTGTCGCCGCCGTCATTTAACATATATGTATACGTATCTATACATATGAACACTCAATAAAAAAAAAAAAAGCCGCCCTCCCAGCTCATCTCTAATGCCTATTTTGCCCCGCGAATGGAGGGGCGGGGGGGTAAGATGCTTGTGCGCGCGCGCTTACCCTTTGGTGGGGAGAATGGTGTGCCTTCGAAACGATTGTGTTAATTACCGGGCCCACAAAGGTCACTTCTATCTCTGCACAGGCCCCGTTTGCGAAAAGAGCGCGCTTTTCATACACAGCGAGGTATAACAGCTGGCACACTTGTTCGTTTGTACTCATGTGTACCTATGATTACGTATCGTACATCGCTTTTGTTTAAACAGTATGTTACATGTCCAGCGGTAAACGTTGTTAGTTCGCTCTTGTCCTGTGTGTATAGTTTTCGTGCATCATTTGTGCGTGAGCAGCGCCCTGCACGTTTCGATCTGCTTGCCATTCTCAGCATGACACTCAGATTTGTTGCTGTCGCACTCATTGCTCCGCCCTTATGGCGAAACTGTGACTTTCTGTTTTTTTACGTATTTACAACCTTTAATCTACCGTTGTGTGCCCTTGGAGCTCCTAGATGCTACCCTGTGCCGCGACCACGGTTTCGCACGCCTCGGTTGTGCCAAACGGCAGTTCCTTTTACAATCCTTGTGTGCTTGGCTGCGCACGCGCCTTCATAACTAAGTTGTTTTATGCCATCTACGATCGCATCTGCCGCAGTTTTGTCCGCAGATTTTGCAGAAAGCAGCGTTGCTTTGACTGGCTGAGCGCACACTTTCGGGGTTCTGTCAGTTATGTCATCGCCATACGTGATCGTGTCAAGAGCGACCGCGGTTTCGGCCACAGCGGTTGTGGTAACGACAATCACACGCACTGTAGAAAACAGAGCGTGCGCCGGTCGCATGTGTAATTTCAAAGCTTCGAGTACGCTGCTCTCAGTCTTCATTCGGCGGTTTCCGCACTAAAGTTCGCATCACCCACCACGATAAGGAAATGTTTTCGAAACATTCAAATTTAGGTACCAATGAACATAGTGGAATTCGGCAAGGGATTCTGACGAATTTGTATCTGCCGCGGTTTGACATCACTGAGATTCTACTGTACGTTTAGATGAATACCTTTGAAACTCATAATAAAATGAGGCAGGTTTGAAAAGCCTAGAGCAGAATGAGCTACCGTCAATGCCGCCAGATCACGCACAGAAATTTGGATTGCCGGGAGATTTCCATGACAACCGTACAAACGGAAGAAACGGTTGAAATCCTGTAGACTTGGCCGGCATGTAAAATTCTTCACCAGTTTTTACAACCCAAGCAGAGTTGCACTTTTACCACATACTAATTTGCATAGACATCAGCCAGTGTTCCTGGAGCTGTATGAAAAAAATCTAAATAGTATATGTTGAAGCATATTGCAAGGAAGAAGGAAACTTGAAGTAAAAAAAAGGTTCCTTTACCTTCCCAAGAGTGAGGAAACTAAGTTGGAAAAGGAACGTTAGACATTCCACCAGGTTCAGGCCTCTCGACTGCAAAGAAAAAAAAAAACAATATGCACACGAACAGTTTCGCATGTTATACCTCTAGAACCATATCCCAAAACTTGTAAGGCAGGAATATGTAGGATACGTACACATAGTCGGCATGAGCAGACGTGATGATTCAGCAACCCACTCATGCATTTACAGCGGTTACAGATTACAAGACAACACTTTTCAGAAGCTACTCTAATTCTTAACTCACAATATAGACTTAGGATGCTCAGAAACTGGCTTACTAGGCAACTACAATTCAGTTTTATGTAATTGCACATGAAAGATGTTTGTTGCTGGTTTCATTTCAATTTTTCATCACTGCACAAGTGTGTAACTTTGCGAGTACATGTACCAAAGGAATAATCCAAGAAGTAAAACAATATAGAATGAAAAATCGAGCTAGTTGGTATGGATTCATGCAGAAAAAGAAATGGCTCTCTTAAGTATCAAAGAAAAAATACTTCAAAATTTCCAAGACAAAAAGTATACTCTATGGATATTTCTTGATTTTAAAAAGGCATTTTTTTTTAATTTTAAAAAGGCATTCGACTCTATTAAGCATGATATATTATTAAAAAAGTTAAGCGAATATGGCGTTAGGGGTCTTGCTCTCAACCTTATACGTAGTTATTTGACAAACCGCTACCAGTACACAGACACCAATCATTCAAAATCAGTTCTGGGGGAAATTAAATACGGGGTTCCTCAGGGTTCCATCCTTGGACCACTTCTTTTCTTATTATATATAAATGATATAGTGAATATTGCATTGACGCCAGATATAATTCTTTACGCGGACGACACAAATGTATTTTTTTCAGGAGAGCATCTCCATATGCTTCGATTGCAGGCTAATAAATGGCTCAACAATTTGGCTGAGTGGCTAAATGTAAATAAACTTGAACTAAATACCAAGAAAACTAAATATATAATTTTTCGCTCCAGAAATAAGACTATCCGGAATGACGTACACTTGAAATTCCGTGGCGAGAACATCGAGCGTGTAAGAATACATATATTTCTCGGTGTTCTTTTAGAAGAAAACCTCAGCTGGTCTCCTCATGTCAATAACCTCACAAGACGCATCTCACGTTCAATAGGTATTATAAGTAGAGCAAAGCAACTTTTGCCCCGGTGGTTGAAAATTCAGCTATATTATGCACTAATTGATTCTCATTTACAATACTGCCTTGTGTGAGGAACAACAACAAAAAGTAGTCTTAGAAAGCTGCATATTCTACAAAAACATATTTTGCGAGTTATTGAAAATGTGCCATATATAACTCACTCCGCTTCACTTTTTAAAGCAAATACCATATTAACAATGCAACACATACTGGAAAAGAAGCTAGGCATTGCAATATTTCAGAAAATAAAGTCATGTCAGGACAGCTTTTATCGACAATTCCTGGGAAAGGGACATACTTACGAAACTAGAAAAACTATATATGATAAATGTTTCATACGAACAAACTATGGCACGCAAAAACAATCTTACGCCATTGCAGATTTCTTAGATCATCATCCTGCCGTCATAAACTTGGTACAGGAAACAGTGCACATGAAATACTTAAAAAAAAAAAAGTTAACTTCATACCTCATTTCAGCTTCCGGTTAATTCGAGCTTCCGGTTAATTCGAACTTACGCTGTGGTCCCGTCAAAGCTATGTGTATTCCAATGGGCGAAAACGCCCTGTAATTCGAATGCACAAGCACTTGCGACGATTAATTCGAACATACCGCGCTCCGAGAATGCTCTCAGCAGCATACCCAATCCCACGGCGGCATCTCTCAATGCTGTGCGCGAAAAAGGAAAAGGAAAGAAAAGACTATGGCGGATTGTTTGCTCTCTGTCAGATGCCGATCTGCGAGACGCCTGTGCCACGCTGCTCCCTTTTCCGTCTCTGCACGTAGAGACCCTTCTCCATTCAAGGCCGCACACGGAGAGAAAGGCAAAAAAAAAAAAAAAGCTGTTGCGGAGAGTTGGCTCTTTTTCTAATGCCGATCTGCTTCTCTCCGCATGGAGACACTCCTTTTTCGGTACAGAGGGTAGAAGTGGAGACGCAGTCGTTGCCGTCATCGTTAGAGAGTGTTGGCACTGGACTTAGCGACGCGCTATTATGCTTTGCAAACTGCATGCGAAATTGATTGACTCGCTGCGAAAACGTGTCCAGTGGCGCATCACAGATTACTTCAATTAATGACGGATGTCCTCTGATTTGTGAATGAATGTAAGTATTCTGAAGCTTCCCCATCGTGTGTTCTTAAGTGAGAGGAAAATCGCTTTGCACCGCAACACCGCTTCTCAGACATGTGACCCGCTGAGCGCTTCCTAAATCCTCTCCAGTGGCTGTGTGAGGAGAACGGCTCTCACGGTCGCGCGTGGCGTGGCTGTGAGGTCGGCGCGGGAGTTTTGTAAGAGCCGCGCCGAACGAGCGTTAAACTCTGCAGAAAACAATATACTTTACACACAACGGTCGTTTTTTTTATAGACTATTTGATAGAATAATTTAGGTCATTATATCCATTTACCGGTAAATTTTACTTCGTTACGAGGTTTAAAATGCATGGTTCTCAATGAATATTTCAAGGAAAATTTCATTTACTTTGTTATATTCACTATATCCCATCATGTTACAATGAGGTCTGAGCATAGTGTAATTATGGGTTTTAACAAGCCAAATCAATATCGTTATGAGGCAGGCCGTAAATGAGAAACCCTGGATTAACTTTGATCATCTCAAGTTTTTCAATGTACACCTAAATCTAAGCAAACAGGTGTTCTTACATTTGCCTTTGGGGCACAGCCGATAGAGGAAAGGAAGCGCAATTGCCTGACTACCCCTTCTCAGATTTGCCACTGCCTGTAATGCATGGTCTTTACAGTGATGAGGTGTGCGAACCATTTTTTTTTTTTTTTTTTTGCAAACCTACTTCTGCTGGTTTGGATACCAAATGTGTCTAGTACATGTTTGAAATTCACTGCCTTTCTCATAGGAGCAAGAGCTAAAGGTGATGTTGTCTGACACAGGCTCTTACTCTTGTGCACATTCGGCATGAATGTACGTGATTTTAAATACTAATGAGAACTAATAGACAATGCTGCCAAGTAAAGTATGGAGGCTGTTATTAGAGGTAATTTTAATATAAATGTGAAAAGCAGTCGAGAAGATAACTTCCTGCCGGCTGAGACTGAACCTGCGACCTTCAATTAACGCGTCCAATGCTCTACCACTGAGCTACAGTGGCCGCCATTCTCCAATCCACTTTGTAGGATATATACATGCATTTAAAAGTGAGAGCATCAATCAGCGTCGCCAGTAGCCCCTACGGGGTGTGGAACACTTTTTTTTTCTTTTCATGTTGGCATCTCGTAGCAGATAATCTTATTACAAGCTGGCAGCTGGCCAGTAATCCCTCAAACACCAAGTTTGCCAGAATGCGACCGTCCTATGAATGAAGGAAAGAAGTGTAAATTTAAGGGCTTGTTTGCTTTGTTAGACACAATGTCAATGAGAGCTTAACAGCAATGATGCCAAGGAAAGTACAGCTGAACCCCTTTATGAGAGACATTGATGCAAGAGGCAAATGGATATGAGACACCAGTGCACCTGCATAAAAATAGGTGTCAATAAGAAACGCATAAGCAGTACCCTGCTTATAAGGCACATGCTCTCATATAAAAGACAAGAACTGCTCCCAGGTTCATGCATCTTATCTAGGGGTTCAATTCACGGGGGCGGTTATTAGGAGTAATTGTAATATAAATGTGAAGAAAAGAAAGCGGACCAAGAGATAACTTTGCCACCGGCAGAAGCCGAACCTGTGAACTTCATTCAACACGCCCGATTGTCTACCACTGCGCTACAACGGTGCCTTTAAATGTGGGAGCGTCAGTCAGCGCCGTAAGTAGCCACTGCAGCGAGTGCAACACTTTTTTTTTTTTTTGCCTGCTGGCATCACATAGCACATGATCTTATTACGAGCTTTCAATGTAAGCCAACAATAGAGCAACGAAAAAACTCAATATGCATCTAAATAATTTTCAGTGTGAATAAAGCAGTATGTGCACATCATACAAACACTTCATGAATAAATACTTCTACAGTTAAACCTGCTTATAACGAACCTCCATATAACGAATTCCTTGATATAACGAGGTTTTTCTATTCCCCGCCATCGCTCCATAGAAGCACATGTATTTGCGACTTCTATGTAACAAAGTAACAGCTGGAGAAAACCTTGATATAACGAATTTTCCCCACGAACAATCAAGCAATTTTGCTCCACATCTCGTTACGAGCATGCATCTTCCTCGGCTGCCTCGCCGCCGACAAAGCGCAATCGACACAGCGCGCAGGGCACACCAGGCGAGAGCAAGAGCTTGTTATTGCGCGCGGGTGAGCGCGAGGCGGGTCTGCACCCCCCGACCCCGAGAGCTGGCGTTGCTGCTGTTCTCGCCGCCACGGGCGCATGCGCGAGTGTGGCCCCCCCCCCACCAAATCAAAAGAAAAAAGAAAGAAAACTACTTTTACGCGCTAGCAGTGCCACGCTTTAGTTAGCATCGCATATGTGGGGCCGCACTGCAGTTTTCCACGGCATCTGTGTCTGTGTCGTTCGCTCTTCGTTTTCGACGCCGTGCGCGAGTGCATAGTTCCACTGCGCATGCATGGTGTGGCCCCATACAACGTTCAGCTTTGCTTTTTTTTTTTATTACCATAGCATTTATGCGCATAGTCACGGCTGGTTCATTGCCGTCGCCGCCGCAGCCGTCAATCACCGTATATGTACTTATCCAATAAGAAAACTCAAGAAAGAAAAAAAAAGCTGCTCGCGCTCGGCACCCAGCTCGTCACGATGCGCCGACACGCACTCATCTCCCGCGCATACTTTGCCCCGCGAATAGAGAGGAGGGGGGGGGGAGGTTAGATGCCTGTGCACGCGCGCTTATCCTTCGGTGGGGAAAATAGCGCCTTCGACTTTGACCGGAGCGA